GGCACGAACTGGTACTAAAGATTCCCAAAGAACCGGTACTAAAGGTCACCTCCCGCCAAGTCATTTGAACCGGCACTAATGGGAGCATTAGTGCCGGCTCATATGCCAACCGGTACTAATGTTTCACATATTAGGTCCTTTTTTACTAGTGCTAGCCAGGACACACTTTTCTCCTTTCCGAAAAGAGTGTGTCTAGGTCTTAGTCAACTGAGACTTAGCCAAGTCTAAGTCAAGTGAGATAACATGCAAGAAAGAAAGAAAAGAAAAGCTAAAGAAAATCTGTACGGATCTCCACGTAAGATCACACAAATATTACATCGACTGAGACTTGGTTAAATCTCAGTCGACTGAGATTTAGCAATTTCGTTCCGAAAAACACAATGTGTTTTCCCTTTTTGGAAGCATAATTGTGCTTCTTATGGAAGCACAGACTTTGATGTGTATGTTCTATAAGAAAAGAAATTGCAATTTTTACTTCAATTTTTCTATAAAATTGTTTCTGATTCAAACCAATTCTTATGTCTTTCTGAAAGAATAAATAAAAAAGAGTGCTTTTCCCTTTTAGGGAAGCACAGTGCGCTTCTCATGGAAAAGTACTGTTTCCAAAAAAATCGGTCAAAACATAAATAAAAGAAGCAAAAGCTGAAAACACGTGAAAAAAAAATCCTAAGGATGTGCCCATCATGCGACACGTGCCGGTGGCTGGGCGTACCAAGTGGCATGCTCCCAGCCCACCAAAAGTGATTCACTGAATTTCCCCCGAGAGTGTACACTTTGATTAGGGTTTTTAGGCTAAAAATGCTCAGCTTTGTTCATTTGATAAAATGACCATTCAAATACAACTTAAATCAGGAGGCTCCACGAGCCAAAGATGTCAACCTAGATCTAATCCCATAGGCATGTCTAGCGAGGCTTATTCATGAAAAAAATGTCTAGCGAAGTTGTGTGCATGTGTGATTAGTTAGGGCATGTACAATTGTGACGTATGGATACAAATGCCCCATGACAAAGAGTAGCTTGAGGCATTTATATTGATTTTTTTTCTACAATGCAAGCTACCACTAGTGAGTCTCATCAAAGAATGAAAAGTAGACTCCCACTACATATGTATCCCAACTCCCCATATCAACTTTTTCAGCTTTATGCACCGAACCACACCTTTTCTGTTCAAGCAACCGTCTCCTACCGACGATCCCGCTAACCCATCCGAACCTACTTTTCCTGACATCCGATCCTACATGATCTACGGGGCATCACCCTAGGGCTATGGGTTGGCCATGCCACTCTGCATAAAATCATGGAATAAAGGCCTGTTCGGAGTCCCTCCGCTCCACGACTCAGCCCCCGTAACATGCGGAGTTGTAGTTGAAAATCGTGGAGCGGGGAAACAGTTTTTTTAGTAGTAAACCAAGCTTTATTGAATAGTAACAAGGTTTACAGGGACAATTAGGGGGTCATGAGGAGCCCCTAGCCAAACATGGCGGCCAACATCTAAAGAACTAGCAAATTTAGCTAAACTGTGATCTTCTCAATTGAGTGCTCGACCCTCGAAAACAAAATCACATATACCAAACTCCATCGCCCGCATTGCAATCTCCTTCACAATTGAAGAATGTCGCCCTTCTGTACCTTTTTCAATATCTGAAACCATCATATTTGAATCACTCGCAACAACGATTCTATTTTCCATGAGATCAAGCGCAAGCGCTTGAGCTTCTCGACACGCCAAGGCTTCTAAGACTATTGCATCAGTTATGCCTTCGACAACCATAGCAGAAGATCCCAGAAGTGGAGCGGGGAAACAGCTGCTCCACAGACTCTGTGATTTCGTCGAGCCGGTGGATTGCCGAACAGCTCCTAAAGGAGGCGGAACCAGGATTTCTCAAAGCCCAGGGATAAAACTAACTGACTAAATATAATGTCAAATACTACACACATCAATGTGCGTTATAAGTATGACACATAATCACATTCAAGACGAAATAAAATTTCATTATTATCACCGAGAGGAAAATCCATAAAACAAATAGTTTAACAAAGTGCATCATTGCAAACATGGTTTGATGCCAAATTAGTGAAGACTTGCTTAATTCAAGGCCCTCGTTTCTTCACCAGCAATAGTAGAAGGGCCTGGATCTGCGAACATAAAATCAAGTGTTTAAAATCAAGACACTGGACATAGACTAAATCAATTGTTCGTATGAAATTTTGCCAAAAAAAATCATACCATTAACACGAAGTCCACGAGGTAGTAGCCCCTTGTGTTTCCTCATTTTTTTGATAGCACTGTATAATCATAATATCGTCAATGCTTACAAATACATCATGCTGAATATAGCACACCAAACGGTGATTCATCCATTCATCATTCATCTTGTTTTACAGATCAGTTTTGACAATGCTCATAGTTGAGAAAGCTCTTTCTACGGTTGTCGTTGCGACGGGCAGAATCAAGGTCAATTCAATGAGACGATATATCAATGGAAAATGTGTGTGCCTATCTGTTTGAACCATCTTTATAGCAAGCTGGCCAAGATGAATGCAACTGAAAAAAATCCAGTATCAGCTCTAGCTTCAGTAACAAATGTCTCAAGTTGGTCCCTAAGAACTCTGCACTCATATTCTGAGAAATCCATGCCATAAATCTGAGCAAGTTCAACCAGCTTATTTATATCAAAGTTGGCAATAGAATTTCTTGGCTCAAGACAAGCGATGCATCTCAATAGTTGGGTAGATTGCTCAACAAAGCGATTGTTGAACTCAACAACAATGTGGTCAAGCACCACATTAAATATTTCATGATGGAAATAATGTAAGTGAGTTACTATCTGGCCGCCGCGACCTCTCGGACGACCTCCAATAGCTAATGTTTCCGTCATGTTTGGAATAATGATGTTATGTTTGAGGCAAAAGGCATTTACTTCTTGAAATAGCTCATCCCATCCCCGATGCCTCATTTCATTAAGTTTAATGGTACAAATTAGATATTCGCTGTGCAACACAGTGTGTTGTCCTGGGTGTGTGCATTGCAATTCAGAAATAGATTGAGAAGAAACAGTGGAACCGGCGACGGGCGCGGCAGGGAATCGCCAATCACGGGTTGACGAGGGCGGCAGGCGCTTGGGCGCTCTGTTTGAGCGAAGCGAGGGGTTTCTGTTGCGACGATCATGTGAGGGGTGTTTTTTTTCCTTTCTTGATTGCCTTGAGTGACGAACGATCAGGCTACAGATCGAAGCGTAAACTGTGCGATTGGTTATACATGGGTCACGTGTAGCCTGTACGTGAAGTCTGGGACTAATGGGTTGAAGCCTTGGGGCGTGTTTGGTTGCAGTAGTGAACAGTAGTTGCATTGCATACACATCTCAACCCAGTCTGGTTGAGTAAAAACAGCCCCAAATGCGTCATCTGCAAATTGTTTGTTTGCCTGCATCTAGGGTCGCTGCATTAAGTAATACGCAAGTGCACTTTGTTTGGTTGCCTGCATTGGCCCAAGCGGCACATGAACACGGTGTTTGGTTGCACGTATGAGATATGATTAAGAGCTAGCACTTGCACTTAGCACACAGGGTTAAGAGCTAGCAGAGGGAGGGGGAAAAGAAATGTAGCGTGCGCAGGAGAATGGCGTCTGCGGTGGATAGTGGCCGTGGCGCCGTGTCCGACATGACGAGCATGGAGTCGTGGACGAGCGACCCCGTCGACAGCACGGCGAGCGACACCGTCGGCGAACTAGTTGCGGTGCTCGCGCAAAGACAGTCGACAAAAGAAGGATAATGCGGTGCTCACGCCATGGTATCGTCAATGCAGTGGACGAGAGAGGAGGCCGAGATGATCGAAGCCGGAAACGACTCCAGTGTAGTAGGGCGAAAGAGAGGAGGCCAAGACGATCGACCCCGTCGGCGGCGCGGCGAACTGCAATGTGCACGGAGGCAGAGGACACAAGAAAGCAGTGTGCGCGCCATTGCAGCGTCAGTGCAGTACAAGGATGACAGAGAGTAGGCCGAGATGAGCGACACCGAAAACGACTCTAGTGTAGTAGGACGTGGGCAAGGAGATCAAGAGGAAGGGCGTCGGCGTCGAGAGCGATGAATAGGAGAGCTCTAAGCAGAGGACAGAGGAGCTCGACATGGCGGCGACCGTGTAATAGGCTGCTGCTCAAAGAGAGATGAAGCTACGATCGTCGAAACCAAAAATTTACAACATGAATGTTGTGCGGAACTGCGAGATTAGGCTGCTGGTCAAAGGAAATTTCAAACGATCGATCGTGCGCGACGAATGTGACAAAATTCGTCTAGAATAGCTTCATACGGGAAGACAAAATTAAGAACTTACGACTGACAAAGATGTGAACCGATTGCCTAAATGGAACCGTAGCATTGAAGTGCATCTTTTTCGTGTAGAGCTTACCTCGAATCGAAGCACCGTTGTGTAGATCGGAAAGGGCTAGGAAGAACAACATTAAAGAGAAGGTTACTGGAGGTAGGAGAAGACATACCAGCTCGTATCCCTCCCATCTCCCCTCGTGCAAGTGACCCATCATGTGCGCTCGCCTCAGCTATGCTCGCTAGAAACTGCCGATCTGAGCGTTTCAGCGAGCCAGACCCAGATGCGATTTAAGTTTCGTGCTGTGCACGCCCAACAGTAAATGTAACCAACCAAATGGGTTCAATCTTTCCCGCACGGGCCAGACTGGGCCTAATGCGGGCAACCATACACGCCCTTGAAGGCCCCCAAATGCTGAAATTTTTTCTACTATGTGTGTACAGGCTACACGGGCCACGCCTGGGGCTACAGCCCTAGTTGCCCCAGGCCCAGTTTCGCCCTAGCAAATCGCAACCTCCAAAAACTTGGGCCCTTTTTGAGCCGAAGTTGGGCCCATTTTGGAACAACTGCTTCGGCCGTACGGCCTCGAATCAACGGGAGTGTTCAGCCCGCAAAAGTCACCCGAAACAGGCAGAGCGAAACCCTGTCCTCGCATTCCCCCGAACCCAAACCCCCAACCAATGGCGGCCACGGCGATGGAGCACGATGGCGGCGCCGAGGTGGTGGTCACCCCGGGGGAGCTCCTCGGGCCCTCCTCGTCTCTCGAGGCCGGGCGCGGCGCCTACGCCGATGGCCGCTCCGTGCGCGCGTCGGTCACCGGCCGCCGCCGCTTCGTGGCCCCCGCCCCCGGCTCCTCCGACCAGGTGGGGTTTACCTAGGGTTTCTGGAGCTGTCCGTCCCTTCGCTCCTCGCGCTGCTGCTGCTGATTGATTGGTTGGATCGATTTGGTTTGGCTGCAGAGGTCCACGGTGGAGGTGGTCGGGCACAAGGCGCACGGGGCCGTGCCGCAGCCGGGGAGCATCGTCATTGCCCGTGTAAGATCTCTCTCTGTTCCCAGAACACCGTTGAGTGGTGAAGCTTGATTTTCAGTGCCCGGGTTGTGTTGCGGCGAATTTCGTTAGCGCTGAGTGGATGTGGTGTGTACCCATCTATTTGCCATGGTTGAATTAGGAACTGGCTGCTGTTGCTGTCTGTAATCTTGCTTTTCATGTCTGAATGGCTGGTGCCGTATCGGCATATGCTTGCAGTTAGCTTAACTGGCACAAATCACCAGCATTGCCTGTGCAAAAGGACCAACGTCCACGTAGGAACACACACTTTTCCTTGTTATAAGGCTGGGTCTTGGGACTTGGGAGGTGATGTATGTGCATGTATCACTTCAGACATAAGCGTCTCATCTTATTGTTTGTAGACCTTGTTAACCTGTAAAACCTTGCTGACTTGAAATTCGTGTAAAGTTTGTGAACGTCCATCCTATTGTTCGTGTGTTGAGCCTAGCAGTAAACAAGTTTAAATAGCTGCTTGCTCCCCAAATAATATCTCGTACTAATATGAAGATTTTCCTTGTATCATGTCGTCATTGACCTGTGAAGATGACTTTACATAATGGATAAGGGGAGTTTAGGGCGTGTTTGGTTGCCTGGGTGGCTCTAGCCTGCATCGCATGGAGGATCCTGGGTGAGCGTGGCCTGGTTGAGCTGATGCAGAGATTGACTGAGATGTGTGTTTGGTGGACTGTATGATATTGTTGCATGAGAGATGCTATATACAATAGATGTTGTTTGGTGGACTGCATTTGAGTTTAAGTCTGTGAGCTTTCCTCTTCCAATTTCAATCATTTCAACTGGATCTGGACCATTCGATGGAACATGTAAAAGAACGCTGAACTGAACTCATGTTTCAATTTTTATTTATCAAAAAATTTCTCAACGAAAGGAAAACAGTATCACCGATCTAGACAATTCAGAAAAAAAAATCAAACGAAGAGGTGGAGGGCGACGAGTTGGCTGGGGCGCAGATGGGCGGCGGGGAGGAGATGCCGACGACGAGATTCGGCTGCGGCTCGCCGGAAGGATTGAGAGCGGTGGCGCAGTTTGAGGGGAGAGAAGGGGAAAAACGCGGCGCCCGTTGCGGCTCGCAGCACGCAAGTGCTCCCCTCTCCCCTTCTTCCTCTCGATTGGTGGCGGACGGCGTGTTCCCCAGCGTCAGCATGGAGTAGCACCGGCGAGGGAGCTCGGACGGGTGGTGGACGAGGCGACTGTCGAGGTGGGTCGGCGAGCCCCCGGCGTGGGCATGGAAGAGGGCGGGCTAGGGTGCCTGGACTGGTGGTGAACGAGGGAGCCCGGACCGCTGGTGGACGAGGGAGCTCAGGCGGCGGCGGCGATGGGTTACTCGATCCAATCTGATGCGTGAGAGAGAGGAGGAGGAGAAGGAGACACGGGACGGGAGTTGCGGCTGCACGCGCGAGCCTGGCTCGGAGATATGGCCGATTCCTGCGTGCCCCTCAGCCTGGCTGAGAGGCCTCCTTTTGCATCGGTTGGGCCAGGCTGAGCAGGCCGCACAGGCCACCAAACACAATAGATTTTGCATGGCGGGTGCGACCCAGGTGCCACACAAGAAACCAAACACGCCCTTAGTGTTTCATGAAAATGAACCTGGGCTTGCCCTCTGATTTCAAGAAATTAAAGGGGGGAAAGGGAGTTTACTGTAGCGGGTTTAGCTGAGACGGATTTGCACGCCGACTTGTTTTTAATGGCGGCAGTGCTAATTGCTGAAGGTTGCTAATGTTGCAGGTGACAAAGGTTATGGCTAGGATGGCGTCTGCAGATATAATGTGTGTTGACTCAAAGGCTGTCAAGGAAAAGTTCACTGGCATGATAAGGTATTGGCCCTTGTTCATGAAATATCTGTTGCTGTTATGCTGCCATTTAGTACCACTCTCATAGATTTATTGTATGGTTTTGCTTTGAGTAGATTGCCAAAGTGTTTAGGGTCGATTGCTTTTGTTCATCGTTTTTCTTGTAGATAATAGACAGTGTATTGCAGGAAAGTTCCTCATGCCATGCTCTTATGTTTGTAGGCAGCAAGATGTTCGTGCAACTGAGATCGACAAGGTGGATATGTACCAGTCATATCGACCTGGCGATATTGTTAGAGCTCTGGTTGTATCCTTTAGGGAGGAATGTTACATCCTATTTATTTTCTCTTGGAGTCTTGGCCATGCGCATCTGCATGCTTCAAGTCACTTTATTTCCAGAAATCATTCATCTGATTATTTAGCAACAAGCTTCTAGTCTTGCCAGATTACTCTATACTTTTGACCAGATTGCAAACCTTACATCATGCTGAAGCTCTCTCTTGGTGATGCAAGGGCATACTACCTTTCGACTGCCAAGAATGAACTTGGAGTTGTTTCTGCCCAAAGTATAGCTGGTGAGCTTTCTGTTACTGCCATACCAAATTACTCACTACTTATTTCAGGATGCAAGTATGCATCCTGCAGTGAGTGAAGAAATTAGTTACAGTTGTTCCTCATATTGTATGATTCAGGCAGAATTGTGCTAATGCTGCCACCCTTGTTTTTCTCTAGGTGGCACGCTGGTCCCAACCAGTTGGACTGAGATGCAATGTGAATTGACTGGCCAAATCGAGCAAAGAAAAGTTGCAAAAGTGGAGTAGATCTTGTTTACTTTGCCAGATAGGAAGGTAAATTTGGTTGGTTACAGGGTTGTTTCTCCTTCGCTCAGAGCCTCAGTGCTCAGACTGTTTCAGTTACGCACTTAACTGTGCCCTTATTTCTTAGTGGAAGCAGCTACTACCCGTATTTCTAGTGTATTGCCTGTAATGTACTCCCTCCGTCCGGAAATACTTGTCGAAGAAATGGATAAAAATGAACGTATTTAGAAATAAAATATGTCTAGATACATCCATTCTTCCGACAAGTATTTCCGGACGGAGGGAGTATTCAAATCCTGTACAGTGGCTAGTTGGCTACTATTAGCCTAGTCCCTGGTATACAACTTATGGTCGAATGTGTACTCTGCTCTGCTCACCGATGAAACCATGTCTACCTCACTGTTGACCAGCTTTCAAAAGTTCAGTAACCCGGTAAAATGTTTGGCTGATCTACACCTCTATGCACTGAATTGTTGCTTTCAAATGTTCATCCCGTGCGTACCGTGACTGAAAGTTTGTGGGTATTCTCACAATAATTTCTTTATTCTTGCTTTACAGGTTTTGATGGTGTACGATATGTTTGATCAACAACTTGGGGTCCTCCGGGCATGATTATTGTCACTGGATTTAGCACATTAACACTACCCATGGGGTGCTATTTTGACTAGCTTTTGAGTGTAACGCAACTATGTTTGTTGAGTGTTATTTAGGGCTTTATGTGAGATTGTGATGTTGTGGTCTTCCGAGGCTTGGAAACAGTTGAAGCGTTGGTTTGAGTCTGTAGACTGAATGTGCAAACGATGCCATTGGATTTTTTTTTTCTCACACAGAAAAGTAAGTTCTTACACTGGAGAGTTATAGCGACGAGTAGAGATTCTATTGCGATAACCAAATTGATATGTAGATCGCCGAACCGAGTCTGGCAACTGCTTGTAGTGGCCTGCCAGCGGCGGGCAGAAGTAGTAATCCTTCTGGACTAGTGAACGAGCAAGCAAGCAAATTCAATATGGGTTTACGGGAATCCTATGCAGTGCAGGCTTGTTATATTCAGGTATGTCATAAGAAAGGTGCTAGGGGGAGAGCACAGGTTTCGGCCTGCTATAGTTGTGCTTGGGTGTTAGAGCATCTCCAACCTGACAAAGCAAGTTTTAGCCCCTTGTACTTCTGCGGACGCGCTCATGAAGAGCGTTGGCTCATCCCCTCATTTGTCCGTGTACACAGCCGCGCCTTCCATATCCAAGCCCTCAAATTCATACATTCCCATGCAACATAAATCAACACAACATAGATAAATTAAACACATATAGTATTCATAGATTGGACATAGCAAGTTCAACATAGAACCGGACACAACAAGTTCAATACATAGATAGTTCGATAGGTTGGTACGATCTATGACTAGATACAACTAGATGGTGATAAATTTCCTCATTTCCTCGCCGGGTCCTTTCCCTTGTTATCTTTGGAGTAACGATGGTGGCGTCGAAGTCGTCGTATGCGTCGGCGCCCGGAGGCCGTTGGAGTTGCTAGAGATGCCGGAGGAATCAGACGAGCAGGGCAGCCCGACCCGGCGTAGGGCAGCGTGGGCCTGCTCCTTGGTGAGCCGGCTTGCTTTGGCGGCTCTGTCGCCTTCTCCTTTGCGAGCCGCTCGGACTCCTCAAGGTCGAGCCACAATTCTTTCACATTTTTGCGGCGGCGACTACGGGAGTTCATCTCACCCTTGGTCAACGAACCGATCGTAGGACGCTACACATGAGCGCGTGCTCAGAATCGGAGGGTGGGGCGGTCGAGGTGGATTTGCAGGAGCCACAAACGGAGTGGCTAGATTCGGTCCTGGCCGCCTGCCTTGCGTGCACTAGTAGAAAAGGGGGCAATGGTCCAGGCCGGTCCAGCCCATTAGTCCCGGTTCAATCCAGAACCGGGACCAATGGGGGCATTGGACCTGGTTCTTGAGCCCCGGGGGCCGGCCGGGCCACGTGGGCCATTGGTCCCGGTTCGTCTGGACCTTTTGGTCCCGGTTGGTGGGACGAACCGGGACCAATGTGCCTTGCTCCTGCCCACCACCATTGGTCCCGGTTGGGGGAATGAACCGGGACCAAAGGCTTCCCTTTAGTCCCGGTTCATGCCACGAACCGGGACCAATTAATTGCCTATATATCCCCGCGAGCAGAGCACTCTCACTGCTCTGTTTTTCATGGCCGGCGAGGAGAGAGCTTTGTGGTGCTCTAGCTCACCTCCTATGCACACGAGGTGTTCGATGGAATGCCCGAGCCACACTACTTAAGCTTTCTCCTCTCCAAGCTCCACCTCCAAGCTCCATTTTTCTCAATATTTGTCTAGGTTTAGCGGTCCGTCACGTCCCGTCCCCGTCTTCACCGCCGTCGATCGCCCGCGCCGATCTCGTCGCCGGCACCACCGTGGTGAGCCTCTTGTTCTTATCTTCTTTCTGAAAGGAAAAAAACTCTTACTTGTATGTTTATATAGATACTTGTATAATTTTCTTACTTTTATTATTGCATCTTATATAGTGCGATGGTTTTGGTATCCGCCCCCGTCGACCCTCGTCCTGTCTATGATTCAGATGTGGTATATATTATCTTTTCATAACTATTGGTTCATTTATTGTTTATGACAATTATGCCGACCAACGTGACATAGATTTTATTTATCTAGGAGGTTGTTGAACCGGAAATTCCAACCGACCCTATTGTCGAGAGGTTAAATTTAGTTGAAGAAGAAAACAATTTGTTGAAGGAAAAAATTAGAAAAATTGAGGAGGAGGAGATGATATTGGAGTTGCATGTTGCGGATGTCGTCAATGATCACAAGATCAAGATGGATGCAATGCGCTTGAAGATTAGAAAGATTAGAAAATATGCCATTCAGACCGAGGCTTGGTATCATTATGCCGTTGGATCAGTTGTTACATTGGTTGTGATTATGATCGCATTTGTTTTCGCATTGAAATGTTTTACATAGTTTCAGTGTATGGTTTAATTAATTTAGATGCTCTGCAGAGCTTTATGTTGTTAGATGAGAACTATGTATGTACTTTGGTTTTAATGTGATGATGAACTTCTATTAATTTGGTCACTTAATTATATAATGCACGCAGATGAACCGACAATGGATGTACGGTTCAAGACACACCTTCGAGTACATTAAGGGCGTGCATGATTTTCTCGAAGTGGCTGAGGAAAACAAGCAGAATGGTTTTATGTGTTGTCCATGCCCTGTATGTGGGAATACGAAGTCTTACTCTGACCGGAAAATCCTCCACACCCACCTGCTTTACAAGGGTTTCATGCCACACTATAATGTTTGGACGAGGCACGGAGAAATAGGGGTTATGATGGAAGATGGCGAAGAAGAAGAGTACGATGACAACTATGTGCCCCCTGAATACGGTGATGCTCCTGAAGATCAAGAGGAACCAGACGATGTGCACGATGATGCTGCAACGGGCGAAGCTGCTGAAGATCAAGAGGAACCAGACGATGTGTCCGATGATGATGATCTCCGCCGGGTCATTGTCGATGCAAGGACGCAATGCGAAAGTCAAAAGGAGAAGCTGAAGTTCGATCGCATGCTAGAGGACCACAAAAAAGGTTTGTACCCCAATTGCGAAGATGGCAACACAAAGCTGGGTACCGTACTGGAATTGCTGCAGTGGAAGGCAGAGAATGCTGTGCCTGACAAAGAATTTGAGAAGCTACTTAAAATATTGAAGAAGAAGCTTCCAAAGGATAACGAATTGCCCGACAGTACATACGCAGCAAAGAAGGTCGTATGCCCTCTAGGATTGGAGGTGCAGAAGATACATGCATGCCCTAATGACTGCATCCTCTACCGCGGTGCGTACAAGGATCTGAACGCATGCCCGGTATGCGGTGCATTACGGTATAAGATCAGACGAGATGACCCTGGTGATGTTGACGGCGAGCCCCCCCAGGAAGAGGGTTCCTGCGAAGGTGATGTGGTATGCTCCTATAATACCACGGTTGAAACGTCTGTTCAGAAACGGAGAGCACGTCAAGTTGATGCGATGGCACAGTGAGGACCGTAAGAAAGACGGGAAGTTGAGAGCACCCGCTGACGGGTCGCAGTGGAGAAAAATCGAGAGAAAATACTGGGATGAGTTTGCAAGTGAGCCAAGGAACGTATGGTTTGCTTTAAGCACGGATGGCATTAATCCTTTCGGGGAGCAGAGCAGCAATCACAACACCTGGCCCGTGACTCTATGTATGTATAACCTTCCTCATTGGATGTGCATGAAGCGGAAATTCATTATGATGCCAGTTCTCATCCAAGGCCCTAAGCAACCCGACAATGACATTGATGTGTACTTAAGGCCATTAGTTGAAGAACTTTTAGAGCTGTGGAATGGAAACGGTGTACGTACGTGGGATGAGCACAAACAGGAGGAATTTAACCTAAAGGCGTTGCTGTTCGTGACCATCAATGATTGGCCCGCTCTCGGTAACCTTTCAGGACAGACAAACAAGGGATACCACGCATGCACGCACTGTTTACTTGACACCGATAGTATATACCTGGCAAGCTGCAGGAAGAATGTGTACCTGGGCCATCGTCGATTTTTTCCGACCAACCACCAATGTCGAAAGAAAGGCAAGCATTTCAAAGGCGAGGCAGATCACCGGAAGAAGCCCGCCATGCGTACCGGTGATTATGTACTTGCTATGGTCAATGATTTACACGTAATCTTTGGAAAGGGTCCCGGCGGACTAGCTGTTCCGAGTGACGCTGGGGGACACGCACCCATGTGGAAGAAGAAATCTATATTTTGGGACCTACCCTACTGGAAAGACCTAGAGGTCCGCTCTTCGATCGACGTGATGCACGTGACGAAGAACCTTTGCGTGAACCTGCTAGGCTTCTTGGGCGTGTATGGGAAGACAAAAGATACAGCTGAGGCACGGGAGGACCTGCAACGTTTGCACGAAAAAGACGGCATGCCTCCAAAGCAGTATGAAGGTCCTGCC